CAAAATGTTGAAACTTCAAGAGACCAAACGACAACAAGAAAAACAAGACGAAGAGGCTAGGCGACAACAAGAACGGCAAGAAGACATTGGAAAACTGCAGAAAATATTTCAAACCATACAAGAATCTGTCGCTAACCTGAGACAAAAGATTATGGAAGTAAAAGCCGAAGTTGAAGAAGTTGCTCAAGAAGTTGAAGACGATGTTCAAGAAGTTAAAGACGATGTTCAGCAGTAAGGACAAGAAGTTGAGGATCAAGTTCAAGCACTTGAAGATAAGGTGAATAAATTAGAAATACAGTCCAGCAATTCAGGTAGTGTTGGAGCATTCTCTAGTATGAAAATAAAACCACCAACTTTTGACGGTTCTACGTCCTGGACCGTATATACGATAATTTGAAGCTGCTGCAAACAACCAACGCATGTAACGAGCAAGAAAAAGCTACAGCACTGATACTGGCGCTACGAGGACCTTCCTTAGATTTTCTTCAGTGCATTCTTTCAATCTACCAACAGAATCACCAGCATCTAAGTCGGACGTTAGAATTGCGCTTCGAAGGCCATTACAGAAAAGAAGTATTTAGAACTCAAGAATTCTAAAATCCGGCGAGAGTTAACAAGAATGGGGTCTTTTCCACTTAACTGAATTTAAGTATTTCATCCATATGGTTTGCAAGCTTATCCGATAAAATACTTAAAGGCTATGTGGTTGATTTTTAATAAAATTATTGAGGGAGATATTGAAGGGAAAAGAATGGCAATATTTCAAATAGTCCGCTAGATTTTGCACCAATCAGAACGCGCTTAGTTGCCCGATTTACCGGCCGTAGCTGTTTCCTGTCGAATTTTTTTCTCTCTAGTTGAATGAAGAGGATAGAAAAGGAAAAATAATATTTTATAGGGATAAATGCGGTTTATCGATTTCTATCTCAGCCCTATTTATTCGACAACTTCAATTGATGAGAACATACTCAAGGCCAGCAGATTATTTTTTAGCTTTATATCTTTCACGCCTCATTAGACAAAGACATGACAGATGACTTGTGCTATTATTGTTTTTAATGAATTCCAACCTACGACCTACACCCAAGTGCTGTCCTACCGGCTTTTGAGTACCTACGTGAGCAGATTTTACCATTAATTATTTCCCAAAATCTGGGACTAAGAAAGGGCTCAAAAAGGGTACCTTTTCTAAATAAAATATTTTCGTTTTGTGCTGTTTCTTATTGTGCGAGTTTGTTGTGTTAAAATTGAAAGTTGTGGAACAGCGATTAGAGAAAGCAGATTCTGCAAATTTACCCCAAGCGATCATGGAAATGGTGTCGGAATATTTGATTTCCACTGCTCAGTACTGAAATAAGAAATGTGAAATTGAAATGGTGAGATTAATTATGTGTTAATTTTTACCAAAACTGCCTTTTAGAGATAATAAAAGTAGATTCATCTGAACATAATTATCATAAGCAACAAACAAGCCCATTAACTAATATTCCAATGTAGGTTAGGTACCTACTACTAAGGTTTATTTTTGTTTTTTGATTAGCAAAAACAGAATATGGTGACAATGCTGTTAGTAATGTACAACTGGACAGAGAAAGCCAACACGGTACCTACTCATTGTACCTACTGTTCAGTGTAGAACTGTAGAATTACCCCAGAATACAAAGTACATAAGAGCAAATAAGCGTAATAGTAGATGAAGCCAATAATAGCTTTCTGAGCTAGGAATGTAAAAATTGTGTTGAATACAAAAATGGCGTGTCCGTGAGTTTTTTTTTAATCGACCTTGAAATACCCTGAAACGCCTCCGTTTCGATGTTAGTGAAACACCCTGTATATACTGGGAAACCACGAGATTATTAAGTACTATCTTAGGCATGGAAATCGATATCGATGCAGAATTTCAGCATAAAAACAATTGACTGTCGCTTCCGGTTTTACCGTAAGTGTCAGCAACTTGTTCATTTAAAATTAAGTCTCGGATTCTACGAGAAATCCTGAGCATATTTTATGTATATCATATACCTAACTTCAACGGTTTTCGAGAAAATCGCGATTGAAAATGTCCAAAAATAATTTTTATTTCAGTTTTGACTAATACGATAAAAATAAAATGCAGTGTTACGATATTTTAAACTTCTTTTAGGAGCACTGAAGAGTCTTATCACAAAAATTTCACTTCCAGTTCAATCGGATACGATATTCATATTATTCTTATTATTATTCATGCTGATATCTCGTTTCTGATTAGTGCGGTTTTGCGATAAATAGGTTACCGGATATAAACAATATTTCTAGGGTAATATTTGGCAATTTTACCTGACGACTTTTCTGTCCTCGAGACTCGTATTTTCTTCCGAGTTACTATGCTGTGCTCTCCAAGTATCTTCTTAATGGCTTTTATACAAATATCCGAGACTGCCTCAGTCGCTCCCAGTTTTTGTTTTCCACATTCTCTAAATTTCTATCTCCAAGTCTCTTTATTTAGTGTTTTTTTCTGCTGCTTTTTGAGTGATGTAATCTGACGGTGTAGCCACATCAATGATGAAACACTAGTGTTTCTCTTCATCCTATATTATAAGGTCTGGCTTATTCGCAAGAATGGGCTGTTTGTTTGGACATGTGTATCCCTCATAATCGTAGCTGGTTCTGGCTTATGGTTGTACCATTTATCATCTGTTTCAACGTTGAAGTGTTTACAGGGATTCCAATGAAGATGGGCAGCGACTGCATGATGCCTGAAAAGACATAAAAGACAAGAGAAATACAACTTTCTGGCATCTTCAAAACATTTTTGTATAGACACCAAATAATACTGCTAATAACATGACTTCCCAATTTATTATTCACCTTGGAACATTACCTACCTACCTCAAGTTTAGAAATAGGGCTTAATGATTTCATTACTATTTGCAAAATAAAACTGCTGAGTGGAACGGGTGATAGTACCTAGAGATAAATGGTAGTAATATTTGGAGAGGTTTCCAACAGGTTGCGCCCCAGCGAAAATCCAGGGACTGGCAATACTCTACGTAACTATTAGGTATATTTTCTATGTATAGGGTGGTCCAAGAAAAAAAACGGAATTTTGTTTATGAGCTATAACTTTTTTTTTTGTTGAACAATTACCTTTTTTTTTGGCTTGTTTGAAAGAGAATTGAACGGGCTCACGAATCAGAGTAGAACTTTTCAAATTTGAGAAAAATTCAAAATGGCGGACTTCTTCAAAAATTACCTAGTTTTCGATATGAAAAGTTGATATTCTATATTTCAAAAATTTCAGTATTCCACTTAGTTTTCAACCGATTTTTTCTGTCGAGGTCTTAAAATGTTCGCAAAATGATGAACTTTGAGAATTTATTAGAAAAGGTTATACAGGGGTCAAAAAAGGGTCCAACGTTTTCCAAAAATAGGTAATTTATTAAGAAGTCCGCCATTTTTTTCAAATGTCAAAATTTTCACTTTGATTCGTTAGCCTGTCCATTTCTCTTACAAAGAAGCCAAAACAAATGGAAATTAGTCAACAACAAAAAAAGTTACAGCTCGGAAACAAAATTCCTGTTTTTTTTTTGGACCACCCTATATAATTTTTCTTTGGAACCATTGAAGTGTGTATGTCTATCAGTTATAAATGCATTATCGTCGAGGAAATGGAAGTGCTACATAAAGTAGTATCCAAAAAATAATAGTTAGGGATTTATGTCATTAGGTCAAGAAGTATAGCGGAGGCCTACAATCGAGCGAAGCACAAAAAGACCTTCTGAGCCGAATGGCATACATTTAATTTTCATAAGCGACTGCAATATTACCTTTCGCAACTATAATTAAGAACTTTGTTTTATTCTCAATTATTGTTTCTCTACGTCTTTTCTAAGTTTTCTATCTCTTTCTTTATTGGCCACGCTAATTATAAATAAATCAAATAAAGTTCATATTATGGGCCGCTTTAAGATAAACACCATTATATACCTACTTTTGGCGAATTCATATGTGATTTCTCAAACAATATTTTTTTTTTCTTGACTGAGTGACATCAACTAGAAAGTTTAAAACCAAATACTCGCGAAATTTTTAAATCTTCAAAATTCTTTAATTTAAAATTTCGACGCGGTTTAATTGAAAACAAGTTCTTGAGCTCAACTTAGTGCGCTTCTGATTTGTAGTCATATGTTTTCAGAGGTATATTAAAACCATTATAATAATAATTAATTTTTTTGAGTTGGAGTGTGGTTCATTAAGTATTGATTAAGAAAATTGGTACTCGCTATATAGGACTAATCTAAATTTAAATTTTGTGGGGATATCACTTGACGCTTGGTTATATTTCCATCTGTCACCTTTAAAGTTTCGATTGATAATGGTTGGCGTCAAAACTTAAATTGTTGGTATTTATATAACAACAGAATAGTAACAGTGTGGCTTGAAAACTTTGTTGCAGAGGGTTATGTTTGTGGAAATTGCAATTACTCGCAATTTCGTATGCAAAAACAAAGTCTCAACAGAGTTCTCAACCAGAGACCTGCATTATAGCGTACATTTATGCGAACGCAGAGGGCCATGCTATGATCCTACTAAAATAAACAGTGCGGTATATTACACTAAAATACTGCTTTGCGAAAGCTAATGTAAATTAAGAATGTATAGATGCGAGCAGCAGCTCAAGCTTTGCGTAACTCTTTGAAAATAAAACCAGCGTTTCCTGTAAAATGCATAAAATTCTTTACTGCACTGACGACATCATTGTGTTTATATTGTACGAGATAGTTTTCAAAGATCCAAATAATTGGTACAGAGACGATATATGTGTTAGTCGTTCTGCTAATTTAATTATAAGACACACGTACATAATTTCACATCTAATTGCGCCAATAATGTAAACATTGATTTCTCGCATAGTAGCAATGATAGTAATTTTCCGGACCCATTACCATTATCCCCCATAAATCAGCATTGCCTTTCCCTGGAGCGAATCAGTATAATAACGTTATTTATTTTCGTTTCAGTGAATGTGGTAGATGGCGAAATTCTGTTCATAATGAAAGTGAGCCGACTGCACATGGGGGTGTATCTATGCATTGCCTCAAACGGAGTTCCCCCCTCGATTAGCAAGAGGGTCCAGTTGAAAGTACAATGTAAGTTTATGTTTGAATTAATGCCTTCTGTCCATACATCAATGATAAAGCTAGGGGAAAATGAATGTAAGAATGGCAAAGCTCATTTTTTTTGCAAATCAATATCTATATAAAAATGAGACAACCATTCTGTACTTCTTTTGTATAATTCAGTATTATTTTCTTTTATGTGGCAAATCATTTTGTTTCAACCTCTATCGTTTAAGCTAAATTGAATTTAAGTTAGGCGCTATAGGTACCCAATGATTTTAAGCTCTGCTAGAAGAGTTCATTATTGATTGTTTTCGATTTTATAGAAAGACTTCTTGTTTCATTCATTTAAGTATTATTAAAAGTTACCTTTTAGAGTATTAAACATGTGAAAACAATTAGCGGCTTTTCAGGCATAAAAATTGAAAATTGTTGGAAACCAGTCGACTAAAAGGGAGTATAAAAATTATCATTCAAAGAATATCATACACCGTTAAATTAATCAACCAAAAAAGAACTTTTATTATTATAAGCTTTTCCAACAGTGGGGGATAAATCCGATGAGACTGTTATTGTCATTAACGTCCTAACAGGACAATAGCTATACAGTTTATCGTGGGGCTTTCAGAGCACTTCCGAACCACGGTCATCAGTTGTTACACCTCTTGGTGTAGTAACCTACCGACTGGGGAGTGTGTTCCTAGGTCCCTAATACCCCAGACGGTATGTCCGATACCATCCGGCCTCTAACCAGCGGTCTGACCGGGATTCTCAAGCCTGGTTTATACCGGAAATAAAATGAAATAAAATAAGAAATAACATAGGAAATAAGAATCATAAGAAATGGGGCGTTTATACAGAAAAATATAAAATAAAATTAGAATTATTTTGAGCCAATCACCACACGCCTGAACTGTCATCGGCGAGGGGTGTTTCACCCACTAAATTTTGTACACCTACTGTATTTGACTGCATTGATTGCATCAAAGATGATAGTTGACTGCATTGACTTTTGAGCAATTTCTAACAAGATAGCAGGCGCCACTCGCAGTGACTGCTTACGATTTTTCGCGAGTGTATATGGAATGTACAATGTACGGTACTGCATGTGACTGCACCTCGGACTGCACAGAGTTTATAACGATTGCAAGTGACTGTATTATGACTGCACCAGTCCATGTATTCCATTGACTGTATGAGAATGTATGGACTGCAGAAGAGTGTATGGACTGCAGAAGAGTGTATGGACTGCATATACATGCATGTATGATATTTTTACACCTACTGCACGAGTGAAACACCCCTCGGTTATCGATCTAATCTAATTGACGCCGTGACATGCGTAAATAGCATTTTCACATAAAATAAAATTAAATGTTAAAAGTTAACCAACTTTTTATTTTTCTTATTTTTTATCTTATTTTATTTTTGTGTATAAACGCCACTGTGGACTTCCCATACAACAATCTTTTAATTTTATTTGATTTCTTATTTTATTTTATTTTATTTGCTGTGTAATCCCAGCTTCAGTAAAATAAAAATATTAAATAATGAATACCTTAAAATGAACGGCCGAAGGTCAGTGGCGTCAGTCTTTGGCGACATGATAAAGACATTTGAGTTTATCAATTACGGGGTGCTTCCCAGTAGGTAGATATTTATTGGTTCACGAGAACATCTCTTCTATTCCGTCCTTGGTGGTCATAGCCAGAGTGGTGATTGGTACCAAAGAATCTGATTCTACTATCATTCATTGAGGCGTGTCACAGTGCTCCTTCTTCGGTCCAGTCCTTCATTGGGATTCTAATGACATGGCGTTCATTAATTATGGACAGAGAACTATGGTTGTCGATGACATGACTATTCTCTGGGTGAAACTATCTTCAGAAATTTAGAGGAAATTGTTGAATAAGTTAACCAATATTTGATGAGAATTCATAATAACCATGACAAAAAGTTGAAGGCAGTTTTATGATTAACTCGTTCGACATATGAAATCAAAATGAGTATATGAAAATCATAAAATGTTTTTAAATTTTGTTGAATTGTATTTCAAATTTCGATGAACTCATTGAAGTTGATGTAGATTTGGTGGGAAACCAATTTCTTGAGCCCAAACTGAGTTCTAAAATTGGTAATTTTCTTGAATGTAGGAATTGTATACACAACATTTCAAAAGGTCCATAATTCCCTCTACTGCGGCTACTATGTCCAAGGTTGGAATGTCTCTAGAAGCTGTAGCGAAAGTGAGACCTTTGGAGGGTAGTTGCTGTTTGTGTTTGTTCAGAAATGTTCACCAAAGCTCTAGGGTTTATTTCGGTAGTTCTTGGAGTTGGAGTGAATGGTTTCCATTTTCTGTCATCAATATTGCTTGTTCTATTGGTACAGGAATGAACGATTTAAGTATAAATCCATTTGGAATTATGTTATTTTCCCTTGCTTGGCACAGAAATGAGAGTCTTCTCCGTTGGTAATTTTTGCCCTTTGGACTTCCATTATCTTTTATTCAAATGTCGCAACGTTTCGATGGTCTTTTATCTGATGTCTTTTCCAAGCGAATGACCAAACCGCTTTCCTAGAGGTCGTTACCCACTACCTGGCTCTCGTAGAATTAGCCTGAGTGAGCTATTATAGTAATGATATGGTAATGTATCGTTGAAAATTTTTAGTTCAAGGGACATGATGTTGGTCTTGTTTAAATCTCGAACTCTTGGAGTTTCGAGCGATAGATTACAAAAGATGTTCCTTCTCCCTTCCATGTTTGCTGCCTATTTTAACCGAGAGACGGTCCAATCAGTTTTGATGTAGAAAATCTATTTTATACAAAAATATACCAACAATGGAGGCAATAAATATAATCGGCGAAGAGCTAGAAAATGACGAAACAACAAAAATAACATTGGGGGAAAAAAATATTCAGAGAGGAAGGAATAGTAACATTTTCGATAAGCCATCGCACGAAATTCGAAGAATTTTGTCATTGCGACGTTGCGACAATGAACCCAAAGGTAATGCGAAGTATAATGCTGCCGTTGCTAAATCCATCATTTGTTGATATGAAAATACTTTTGTCAAGGCCCTTCAAATTTGAGCGAATCAAAGTTCAAAGTAGCCAGCTGTATTCACCAATTAAATCAAAAAAATTTAAATGTGTTCGGAATTTTACCGTTCTGAGGTGATCAATGTGAGAAAAAAAAAAATATATATGTATATATATAAATTAAGAATCGATTTACTTCTACTTGTTAGGGGCTTAGTTTGCTACGTACCTACACAATAATAATTAAGTGAATTTCTAAATCAACAAAAATATTTTCATTGAAGGATCGATGATATTATCATTCAAATCTATTTTTTGTGTATTTTTATGTTCAACCATAATCAATGCGGCAAAAGTTGAGACTACATCATGAGAAAATATTTGTAATGAAATTCTTTGATTACTTTCAACCATACTTAATCCAAGCTGAGGTTATTTACCTATATATATTCTCCATATCGAAGCAAATATCATAGTCGGTAAAATGTTTTCCATGTTTACTTTTAAGTTTCCAGGATTCTGAAATATTTTATGGATATTTTTTACTTGTCAATACTTTTTAATATCTCTGCCTCGATAAACTTAATATTTTCTCTTAATAAACAGAATATCAATCTGGTTATTATGGATGACGGACACTGGAACTGTCATATTTAGATTGGAGGTCAATTGACCCTCTAGAAACCCCATATCCCTACTTAAAAAAAAATTAAATGACATGACACATCCTATCACACCGAAAATCGAATCCCTCATCGACAACTATTCATCTGTCCAAGGGAAAATGATATCAATTGTTGCGTTATTGAATTATACAGGATTTAGATATAATCTGAATATTTAAACCAAACAAAATTTTTCAATTTCTTTGCTTGAACTTATCATATGACTCTGTATTAGTGACTTTATATTTTGGAATAACTATAAGACCAATTATTTTTTTATTTCAAGAATATTGGGACAATATTATTACCCGGATAATTCAAAAACGAATTGCTTTATGTTACTGCTCGGTTAAAAAGTGTCATACGATCCCGTCACGAACATACTACACATAAGTTCCACAAAGACAGTTTCTACAATCGTCACTGGGTTCATTAATCAGTTAATTATCCTTGATAAAAACGTCCAATTCCGCGGACCTTATATACTTACCACTAATAAAAAAAATTCTTGAAAGTTTTGTTTGATTCGAGTATTCAAAAAAATATTTATATTGAAACAAATGTATACCTAACACAATAACCCATCGTTGGGCATACGGATACGTAACTCATGAGACTTTCAATTCGAGACATGACAAGTGGGGTCGTATTATCATTTAAAATCTCAAAATGGGATAAGGAGGTCTGAGCAAGTTGTTACTGGACAGGGGTTCCTCCAAAATATGGCAGCTTATATTATCCCTAGCTATAACTAGTTTATTCTAAAATTGCGTTATTTTTGTAGCTTCCGGATTATCAGCTGACTGTAAATTTACACATTATAAGGTGTAATATATTAACAACTTTATCAAATTATTTCGTTTCATTAACTTTTTCATGTACCATTAACCAAGAAAAATTATCTCAGTCCCCATTGAAAAAAATATTCTAGCGCTAAAATAATATATATCCCCCCTAGCACCCTATTTCTTTTTTAAATAGATTCATGATTCATCGCATCCATCTTCAAAATAACCGACCATATCTCGCCTAATTGACTGTGCAACAAATCGGAAAATTGTTTGCACAACAAAAACGCAAATGCCGGCTATCTGAAAGCGAAAATCGCGAATGTAATTTTAGATAAAGCAAATCTAACCCAGAACATCCCTCACTACCAGGCTTTCTAATATTAAACTGGCTCTTGCTTCGATCCCAAACAACTCATACATTTAACACGATGTATATCTGTCAAGATATCTGGCTAAGATTTTTCTCCCTTCCTCGACGAATTGATTGATTAATAGGGGGTGAGCTGGAGATGGGGTTCGTATCGATTTAGTCTT